AGATTTAAACTATGGTGTAAATACTTGGAGCTACCTCAGTAATGTAAATGTGAAGCAAAATCAAAAGCAGAACATGAAATAGGCTACAGCAGTGCTATGAAAAAGCATATACTCGCCAAGAATGCACACTTGCCTGGTAAAGCACTCAGACCCTGATTTCTTTTCTGCCTAAATCACACCCCAACTGGTGACAAATGCTACTCCAAATGAAATTTAGGTTTGATTAATCTATTCCTTAACGTCTGCTTGTTGTAGGCAAAACTAACGAGTTCTACAGAATGAAACCTAAGTATTTTTCCTAAATTAGAGACATTTATGTATGGAATTTGCCATGGAAGCGGGCCATCGGGCTCGAACGCGCTGCGCAGAGACAGAGAGTTATTTCTGTAGCTCTACCTACAGAAGTGGTCTATAAGATTTGCTAAACTGTGCAAAAAGTGCAAAACCAGTTGTAGGAGTCACCTGAGAAGGGGAGAGGGGAATTTAAAACAAAGACCTTGTGTTTTACTTCGTAAAGGAGAAGCAAAGGGAAATTTGGGGATAGTGTGTCGTATTATGCATGCTTTATGACAACTGAAATAAAAAAGAAGATTGCTTTTTCACACCTAGAAAGAATGATTTTCCTGATTTAGATACTAAGTAAAATGCTGATAATTCCTTCCCCAAACATGAGTACACAAATACATTATGCAAGAATAATTATTTTGTTGTGCAGTATGTTCATAAATATTAGATAGAAAAAAAAATAATCTCAGTTACAGAAAGCAACAAAAGCTAGCAAGGTCTCCAGAGTTTTCCTTTTATTAAAATAAATCAGTAGTCTTGCTTGGATTCTTAAAAATAATTTATATCCAGAAGTTAAACACGTTTAAGTAAATTGACTGCATTGACCTTCCAAAGAAAGGCCCAACACTACAGTCAGATTTTTGGAGAGAGTTTCTTGGGTTTATTCTGATGAGTTAAAAAGTATATGTTAAATAAACTATGGTTTCTGTTGATTACCTGATAATAGTTTGTACAGTCTGTGTATAAAAAAATAATGCAGGTTTCTAGAGAAAAGCCTGTTTTGGTAGGAACTGCTAGTTTTCACTGGTGGTTTGAAAAATAAAAAAAAAAGGTATAGCAAGGTTAAATTTCTCAGGAACACTTTAAAAAAGATCTTTGACGCACGTAGCAAGACTAAAGCATTAGTAAAAGGATGATCACTTAAATACAATCAATGGAAATCCATTTTGTTTAGACTGGAAACCTGAAAGGACAAGACCAAACAAGACTCTCATGCCCCTTTTTTTAAAAAAAAAAAAATTAACAAATAGTCATACCTTGAAGTGTTGAGTGAGCTGTGTGCTCAGTGCTCTCCTTGCCTTTAAAGGTACCCCTCACTTCGTCTGTGCTGTGTAATAAGGGTGGTGACTTCTCCTTTCTTCTAAGCTGTACAAAGATCTTTGGGACTGATTTGATTTAGGGAAGCTGAGAACAGGCAAGTTTCTGATACTTCCATCGTCCTTATCTTACACAACAATTAGTAGAAACGGGTACCACAGAGCCCCTTCGTGTTGAGGAACCTGATTGCAAAGGCCAGTAACGTTGGGTGGTAGAGAAAAAATCTCCAAAGGGCTAAGCAGTTCCATGGGAAATGGAGAAAACTAGAGGAGAAGATAGGAGATGTTGCTTCCTCTACATTTCCAATGATTTACAGGGAGCTACATAAAACCACCCCTTATAAGGAGGCAAATATTCCATTTCCCACAAAGCCTTCCCACTCAATAGAGATGCTAGACCTTCAAGTGTGAACTTCTCTCCTTGTATCTTTCAAACCCAGTCCTAGTACGGACAGATATGTCTTTTTTAACCAGTTCTGGCCATAAGAAATTATTTCATTTTACAAGATGGATATAGAAACCATCTTGCACAGCTCATCTCCTCTTCTCCTCTCTTCTACCAGTTGCCAGACACGTCCCTCATGGGCCAGTCTGATGGGACAGTGGACAGGAATACCTCTGCTTCTTACACTCTCTGGTGAAGCCACCTTCTTGTTGGGGTGGTAGCAAAGTCTAATGATCCTTCCTGGCTACTCAGCACTGGTGAGGCCCCACCTGGAGAACCCTGGCTTAGCTTTGGCCATGGCAGGTCCCTCTGGCAGACAGCTGGAACAGGCTCCATCCACCACGGAGGCAGGTCCTGGTCTCACAGAAGCCACCACTGCAGCACCCCTGCTACCAAAACCTTGACACATAAACCCAGAAAGATAACTTTAAAAGAGAGAAGGTACAAGAAACATAGGCAAGGATTAAAAATTAGGGACAGAGAACCACGTAGAGGGAGACACTGAAAGTAAATTTTAAAAGTGACGGGCGACAAGATATTGCAGGAGGAGCTCACCAATGATCTGGAGAAGGGGACTGAACACACCCTCAGTAAGTTTGCAGATGACACCAGTTTGGGTGGGAGTTGATTGTTGATCTGCTTGAGGGTTGGAAGGCTCTGCAGAGGGATCTGGAGAGGCTGGATGGATGGGCCAAGGCCAATGGGATGAGGTTCAACAAGGCCAAGTGCCGGGTCCTGCCCTTGGGTCACACCAACCCCCTGCAGCGCTACAGGCTGGGGGCAGAGTGGCTGGAGAGTTGTTTGTGGAAAAGGCCCTGGGGGTGTTGGTCATCTGTTGGGTGAACAGGAGCCAGCAGTGTGCCCAGGTGGCCAAGAAGGCCACCAGCATCCTGGCCTGTGTCAGGAACAGCGTGGGGAGTAGGACTCGGGAGGTGATGGTGCCTCTGTACTGGGCACTGGTGAGGCCCCACCTTGAGGGCTGTGTCCAGTTTTGGGCCCCTTCCCACAAAAAAGACATTGAGGTGCTGGAGCGGGTCCAGAGAAGTGCAACGGAGCTGGTGAGGGGTCTGGAGCACAAGTCTTGTGAGGAGAGGCTGAGGGAGCTGGGGGTGTTCAGCCTGGAGAAGAGGAGGCTGAGGGGAGACCTGACTCTACAACTCCCTGAAAGGAGGGTGTAGCCAGGGGGGGTCGGTCTCTTCTCCTAAGGAACAAGTGATAGAACAAGAGGAAATGGCCTCAAGTTGCGCCAGGGGAGGTTTAGATGGGATATTAGGAAAAATTTCTTCACGGAAAGGGTTGTCAAGCCTTGGAATGGGCTGCCCAGGGAAGAGGTTGAGACACCGCTCCCTGCCGCCTCTCCACCACCAGGCGGCGGGCCGGGTGCTGCAGTGCCGCCTTCCTGCCGCCAGACGGCGCAACAGC